AGGCTACTAAAAATAATAAGGAAAACATCTCTGTATGGCAGGAAAGCAGGATGTGTTTTCAGGAGAAAAAGGTGTGAGAAATGGAGATGGTGTGGCTGGGGCTCAGGTGTCCACAAGCATCCGCCTGCCGGGGTCCCACACAGACCAGGCTCGGCCACTCGCCATTGAGGGAATCCAAAGGCAGAGAGGCGAGGGGTGGTGGCACAAGGAATTTATTTCAGCAAGGGCAACACCAGGAAGACAGGGCACTAGCATCTGAGACACTATACCTCCCAAGTGCTGAAAATACTCTCAGGTTTATATAAAGAAAAAGTGGGGCAAAGCGGGTGAGTGGGTGCAGTTGGGAGTCACACTGGGTCACTCTAGCCTGGAGTCAATCATGGACAGGGTCTGGCTGGCTCAGGTCGGTCCTTCTTGCTTGAGGGGGTAGTTTCGGTTCCTTTCAACACTTTGCCTGCTGACTCTTCAGCCCGAGCCAAGAGACAAGTTAGAAAGAACCCAGCTAGAATCCGAGGTCAAAATGGAGGCAGCAGAAGTCCTCTTTCAATACAGTTTTTGTTAAGGGGAAAAGAAATAATTTTGTCCTAAAAGGAGGCTGGTTGTTTATAGAGGGGGAAAAAAAAACACACACAAAACATAGGACAAAATTGGAATATAGGGGGGAAAACGTTGTAGAAGGTTTGTGAAAAAAGAATCTTTAAACAGGAATTTTCATGTGTGGTCAAGCTGGTTAAGATTAAAATAAAGGTATTTTAAAAAATGAGTTTTACGGGTGTCTCTGGGGCCGTGGGTTAAGTGTTTGACTCTTGATTTACACTTAGGTCATGATCTCAAGGTTTGTGCGATCAAGCCCTATATATAGAGCATGGAGCCGGCTTGAGATTCTCACTCTTCCTCTCTCTCTCTGCCTCTCCCCTGCTCTCTCTCAAAATAGACAAACATTTTTTTTTTTAATTTTTTTTTTTTAAATGTTTTATTTATTTCTAGGAGAGAGAGAGAGACAGCGTGAGCAGGGGAGGGTCAGAGAGAGAGGGAGTCACAGACTGAAACAGGCTCCAGGCTCTGAGCTGGCAGTCAGCACAGAGCCCGACGCGGGGCTCGAACCCACAAACCGTGAGATCATGACCTAAGCGAAAGTCGGACGCTTAACCGACTAAGCCACCCAGGCGCCCCTAGACAAACATTTTTAAAAGGGAGTTATAAGCTAGTACTAAATAAGAATTTGATTTTCTCTCTGTTAAAAGGACAAAGTTTTCTTGGACTTTTGATCTGATTTAGGTCAGACTGTAAAAATTTCTTTTACCTTTTAAGTATTGGGTTTTGTAATAATATCTGATCTTATTTAGGGAAGTGATTCAAACCCTTTTTAAAATATCTTTGTCTAACTTTCTACATGAAGTCCTTTTAGCTTAAAATATACCAAAGTGTTTGCTAAATGAATTAGGCTTATTTGAGATGTATATTACATGGAAACCATGGTCAGAAGTAACCCTAAGCTTTTATATCGTATTTGTTAAGACTGTGGCCCGTGTGGATAAAGTCATTCTGCTTCCGGAAAATGGCCCCTCACTGCCAGACTTTTGCCATCCTCATTTCCTGGTAACATGGCAACCTCTGAAATTTAAACCACCTTTTATTTCAGGATAGAAAAACAATCTCACTGTGCACCTAACTTTTCACAAACAAAATAAGACCTCTCACGTGTCAATTCCCCTAAATTTACACTGTTGAGTTAAAGAGTGCCTACCAGAAGATATTCATGATTCAGAATTCACTCCTTTTGACAAGCCCCTATTTCCTGGATTAGGGATGGATACAGGAGGCTATGATCAAGAACTGCTCCTTCATTCTTAAAATTACTGCAAAACCTGTTAAAGCAATAGCAGCTCAACAAATACCCTTAAACTCTCTGGCCAAAGCTCTCCCTGATAATGGAATAACTTGTCATTACCTACTGGCTGACCAAGGAGGTGTCCATGCTGTGGCGAACACCACCAGCTATGTCTGGACTGACACTTCTGGGGACAGTGAAACTCAATTACGTAAGATCCAGAACAAGTTGCTTGGCTTAAGAAGGTGACTTGCTCCACGGGGTCTTTCTTTGATTTATGTGATTTTGATGGATTGGGGTCTTGGGCACCCATGACTCTAAAGTACGCTCCTGGGGTGCCTGGGTAGCTCAGTTGGTTGAGCATTCGACTTCGGCTCAGGTCATGATCTCATAGTTCGTGGATTCGAGCCCTGCGTCAGGTGCTGTGCTGAAAGCTCAGAGCCTGGAGCCTGCTTCAGGTTCTGGGTCTCCTCCTCTCTCTCTCTCTGCCCCTCCCTTGCTTGTGCTCTCATTCTCGCTCTCAAAAGTGAATAAACATCAAAAAAATTTTCTTAAAGTAAAGTGCACTCCATTTACTGGGATTTATCCTGCTTATAGTAATGATAATCATCTCTCTGCTGTGTTGGATCTTTCAAAAGCTTTAAATCCATGTAGGCATTAACCACCAAGCAAACGATCTCCCTACAACTGGAACATCTAAGTAACAAAGAAAATAACCGACTTAAGGAGTGTGAAGCTCTGACCTGTGAATATCATGGAGGTTAAGGTCTTAACCTTAACCTATGGATGCCACTAAAGGAACAATAAAAACTTCAAGATCTTCAGAGTGGTCTAAGGCCTTCAATTTTTATCACATATCTCATCTGAGAGTCTGATCAAAAGGGCATAATTTGTTAAAAAGAAAATGGCAGGCCCGAAATGGTGCCACTTATGGACCTGAGTCAGTGAACTGAGGATTCCTAACGCAACGGCAATTTCAACCCTCCACCCCTCTCCACCCCCCGGAATGTAACCCTTTATCAGTCTACACAGAATTTCCTGGCCAATACTAGGGGGTTTTCTTTTTTTTTTTTTTTTTTTTATATTTTATTTATTTCTAGGAGAGAGACAGAGAGAGACAACGTGAGCAGGGGAGGGTCAGAGAGAGAGGGAGACACAGACCCTGAAACAGGCTCCAGGCTCTGAGCTGGCAGTCAGCACAGAGCCCGACGCGGGGCTCGAACCCACAAACCGCGAGATCACGACCTAAGCGAAAGTCAGACACTCAACCGACTAAGCCACCCAGGCGCCCCACTAGGGGGTTTTCTGATGGACCCCTTCTGCTCGCCTGAAGAGACCACCTTGCCTAAGCAATTCATACCTTGCTAATAATCTTTCTTCTTCTTTAATGTCCTCTGACTTTAAAAGCTTTTCTCAGTGGATTTACCTAGTTGGATTTTTCAAATTTACTTAGTTGAATTTTTTTTTTAACACTGAGAATAGCTATTTCAAGTTTCTAAATAATATACTATTGATGATTTCACAAGGTTTCTTGCCAAATTTTCTTAGTCCTATCTTGAAAAGATGTCATTTGGAGATAAAGAGTTCATCAAGGTCTTTTAGAGAGTGAATTCTAAGTATTCCACATTCCCGTCTACATAGCACAGCCTAGAAACTGCTCCTGGCAATGAAGGATGCACCCATGAGGTCAATATTTTGATTGTAGCTTCTCAGAAAATAAAACAGCCAGTACAATGGACACACGTGGAAGTATGACTGTTAGGGCAAGATCAAAGGGCAGGTTAGGCAGCTGGGCTCCCCTCTGAACCCACTGGTGACCCCTGAGTGTTGGCGGGGGGGCGCAGAGTCATAATACAAGGTAGGAAATCAAAATACAGGGATGGAGGGGCGGGAGACAGGGCCAGCCAGTGAGGACACCATTTATAAAAGTTAACGATGAGGGCGAATGTGTTCCTGACCTGTGCTAGCGTCAGCCAGAGTGAAAAGAGATAGTGGGGGAAAGGGGGAAAGAGTCAGAGGAATCAAAAATGCTGGGGCCCCTACGGTGATAATAAATGTTGGTCTTGGGAGCAGAAAGTTTCCTGTAGCTATTGAAGCCAATGGAAAACAACGTGTTCAGAGTACTTAGCATTACACTGGGAAACTTAAAGTACAGTATTAGTAAGAAACTTCAGCCAGATTCTCTGTAGCCCGCTACTCAGGAATGCTGCAAAGAACACCGACAAGAACCAGTCCTCCCATACATCCACACCGGAAAATCCCTGTCAGGGGAATTAAGTGACAGGATACTACTACAGACTTACAATCGGATGCATTACACCTCTCAGCAAGGGTGCTGAATTTTCAATACACTGTTTATTAGAAGAACTGTCCTGTTTTCTATTTGGCCCCTGTGAGCACAGGTATGCAAATCTGGACTAAGGGGCAGAGGTCTGGAATCAACAATGTTGCCTTAGCTTACTGTTCATGTTCTTGTAATTGAGGGGAAGTTCATGAAACAGAAAATCAACCATTCTAAAGTGAACAATTCAGTGGCATTCAGTATTCATGAGGCTGCGTAACCACCACTTCTGTTTATTTCCCTAAGTATCTGATAACTTTACCAACATGAGGACAGCATACACAACTATTAAGAAAAAATTTGTGATCACACTAAACCTTTAACCATATACTACACACACACACACACACACACACACAGTATTGTTTCCACCATAACTATTTTCTGTCACAGAAGGAATTTTATTCTTAAATTTTTTTTTTAACATTTATTTATTTTTGAGAGACAGACAGAGCATGAGCAGCAGAGCGGTAGAGAGAGAGAGACACAGAATCGGTAGCAGGCTCCAGGCTGTCAGCACAGAGCCTGATGCGGGGCTCAAACCCACTAACCATGAGATCATGACCTTAGCTGAAGTTGGACGCTCAACTGACTGAGCCACCCAGTCTCCCCAGAGAATTTTATTCTAAAAATAGTCTCCCTGGAGTTTCATAACATAGTAAATTCAGAAAATGAGTTACCATTATTATTCTCCCAATATCTTTGACACATATCTTCTACAAGGAAGCCTCATACTCCTTTGATCTAGGTACCAGAAAGTTCTGAACTTCTTTAAAAAAACAAAAAACAAAAAAACCGAAGGTGGAAAGAGACTGCAAAATGACGTACCTTATTGGGATGGCTGGCCGCTTCCTTCCCAAATCAGCTTCAAAGAGGAAGCCTTCCACGGCAATAAATAAAAACTGCGCAAATGTCACAATGTTCCCGCATCCTGGATGTTTCCTGTGTAGTAAACAACAAAAAGGTAAATAAGGTACAAAAAGCTGCAATAAAGGGCATCAAGCCTTGCTATACTGATAGCTCAGAATAACAGGGAGGACTGATTTCTATCACCCACTGTCCTTCATCTCCAGTTTCACATCCTGTGGGTCGCACACAGCCATCGACAGAGCTCACAGAGAGGGTCAAGGTTATTTCGCTCTTCCCTGGTTGCAGCAGGCCAGGAGTAAGAGTCCGTCTGATACATTCATTCTTAGAACTATGATACAACTTTCCTAGCAAGCTGTAGGAAGCTGATCGTCCATGGGGTCCTCGGTGAACCACGAGGACTTTAGGCAGGACCCCAATCAGCTTCAGCAGCAAAGTCCAAGCCCAGAAATAAGCTGAGGCCTTCCGGAGTGTTGACACAGCTCCCCATCTGGGAACCACCAAGACCACTGGTAATGGAAGACGTGCACCTGCGACCGGTGACTGGGCCATCGCCTGAGATAAGGTCCCCATGGGACAACTGGTTCTTGGGGCGGGGAGATTCATACTCTTTTTCAAAGTTATCAGGCACAGATATGCATACAGCACATGAACCGGTATACAACACATCTGTGGAGGAGTGACTAGGAAAAAAACGGTCTACAGACAAAGCATCTTTGGCAAGAGTTAGGAGAGATAAGGGGCGGTTATGAAGAAGACTGAAGAACACTGCTATCATCTCCTGTTCTCCACAACCCTGAACACAAATATATCAGGTACTCGACAAATGGTAGAACTGAATCGAATCTCTTCAGTGATCCATGGAAGGGTGGAGGAATCTTCCACAGCGACTGTTAGGAACATATTTAGAAGACAGAAAAAGAAAATTCTTCTGACTTCCCTCTTGAAACACTGCGAAATATGGGGACTTAAAAGGTTTGTGGTTTTGAGTCTGTCCTCTCAGGTTCTGCTCCGTCACTGGGAGAAGTACGAAGCGAACATTTCTCTGTTTCCCTGAAGCTTCCAGATGTCTCATATGACCAGGATTTTTCAGACTTCATATTCCGTGTTCTCATCTTGACCAAGAACATTTATTTACCAGAGGCTACTGATTAGAGGGATTCTTGTATTGCACATATACTCTTACAGTGAACATAACGCTACTTATGAAAAACCACCCCCATTCTCTCTTGGTGGTTTTAAGATTAAACAGCAAGGCCAAGTAGACAAGTTCTTAAATATGCCCAACAGGCGTAAAACAGACAATCCCTGACATGAATGAGCCACTCTCGTGCAGAGCTCTGCTTTACCGTCTGACACAGAACCGCTGCGCCTCTTCAGTCTCTACTGTCTATGGGTGTCCCAGAGAACTCTTGCTGGATGTTCCACAATTTCCTTTAGCATTTATGTTCGAGGGACAGGGCTAAACATGCACAAAACCGGAAATAATCACATAAGACCTTGACCTCACTTGAAGAGCTCATTAGAACCATGAGCCGAAATAGGGGTGACAGGACAAGGTACTTCAGCTCTAGATAGTTCCTGGCACAGTGCTTTTCAACTCTAGGCTGCTCTTTAAAGTCCCACGTGCCTGAGGAGTCTCACTCCCCACCCCCAGTTCTGCTTAGACCGCTCTGGGGTGGGGCCCTGGAACATGGACTTTCCAAAGCTTTCCACTTGATTCCAGTGTGAAGCCAGAGTTGAGAACCACTAGTGTAGGGGACAGGGAGGAAGATGTGGGGGGAGGCGTGTGTGTGTGTGCGCACCTATGTAAGATGTGCAGGTAACTCTCACAGGCTCTCGCCGAGTTGAGAACCACTGTACTCCACGGTGGCGAAAAGAACACAATGACTGGGGCGCCTGGGGGGCTCAGTTGGCAAAGTGTCCGACTTTGGCTCATGTCAGGATCTCACAGTTTGTTGAGTTCGAGCCCCGCATCGGGCTCTGTGCTAACAGCTCAGAGCCTGCAGCCTGCTTTGGATTCTCCGTCTCCCTCATCCTCTGCCCCTCCTCCACTCATGCTCTGTCTGTCTCTCTCTCAAATTAAAAAAAACACACATGAGAAAAAGTACACAAGGACATGCAGGAACCAGGTCTCCACCACTTACTGCGTGAGAGTGGAAGGTTATTCCCCTACGTCTTGTTTCCTTATCTTTAAAATGGGAACAGTGTTCGTTCCTATCTCACTGGTTTATACACAAGCCAGTCCCTGAAACGCACCTAACAGCATGCCACAGAGGGAAAAAGGCCCTAGGATCTCGCGCACCGAAGGCCTTCAATCAAAGTATAGTTCATTCTTTTAAAAAGGCATTTATCTTGACCAATTTTTCCACTTATAAAAATGCAAGTGACAGGGGCGCCTGGGTGGCTTAGTCGGTTAAGCGTCCGACTTTCGCTTAGGTCATGATCTCGCGGTTCGTGGGTTCGAGCCCCGCGTCCGGCTCTGTGCTGACTGCCAGCTCGGAGCCTGGAGCCTGTTTCAGAGTCTGTCACTCCCTCTCTCTCTGACCCTCCCCTGCTCACGCTGTCTCTCTCTTTCTCTCTCTCTCCTAGAAATAAATAAAACATTTAAAAATAAAAAATAAAAAAAATGCAAGTGACATAGTTTGAATTTTGTAGTGAGGATTCAACGAGAGACTATACATCAAGGGCCAAACACAAGACCCAAAAGGGGCTCATCAAGCTTCCTTGCTTCCTCCTGTTTTCTCTTTACCGCTAGATTAGGCCGTTCCGCCCTTCCCCGGCTGTAGCAGCCATTTCAATTACAGACCAGTTAGGGAGGGGCACCTGGGTGGCCCCGCTGGGGAAGCCACCGACTGCGGCTGGGCTCAGTTCACAGGCTCCTGGCCTGTGGGTTGGAGACCTGCCTCGGGCTCTCTGCTGTCCCACAAAGCCCACTTCTGATCTTGTCTCCCTCTCGGCCCTGCCCCCTTTCTCACTCTCTCTCAAAATAAACAAACATTTAAAAACAAAAGGACAATTATGGAGAATGTACCGTGTGTAAAATTCGGTGCTAGGGAGCTCCCAACGTGAAGGAGATCTGACCCCTGAACCCTTAAGGACATGACAGTGTATATGGAATGTACATGGCATATGAAACACTAACGGCCTGGTGTCACACAGGGCAGGTCAGAGGACGGACGGTGTCCAATTCACCTTGGCGCCTGCACTCTCGGGGCGCAGCATCTGGCCTTCGCTCAAGGAGCTGAATGAATGGGAGGGTGCTTCACTTTAAGCAAATAGGACCTAAAATATTAGTACTGTAAAAAGAAACCATTTATTTCAAAAAATGACTTTGCAAGTGAATTCCTCACAGGCCTTTGGAGAGAGCATCATGATTTTGAATTTTTGAATTTTATCTGTATTTTACAGAGGTAGTTATTATTGGGCCCATTTCATTGCTGACGACACTGAGGGCTTCGTGGCACCGAGTCTCCCAGGGCCACATGGCAAATAAATGGTGTGTGCAGACTCCCTTAAGGTATTGTTCACAATTCAGTAGTTTTTAGTATATTTAAAATCGTGCAGCCATTACCATTTTAGGGCACTTTCAAAAGAAAGCCCATAACCATTAGGAGTCACTCCCCACTGCCCGCTCCCCCTAACCCTTGACAACCCTATTCTACTTTGCTATTTCCACAGGATTTTTATTTTTTTTTTTTAATTTTTTTTTTTTTTTTTTATTTCTAGGAGAGAGAGAGAGAGACAGCATGAGCAGGGGAGGGTCAGAGAGAGAGGGAGTCACAGACTGAAACAGGCTCCAGGCTCCGAGCTGGCAGTCAGCACAGAGCCCGACGCGGGGCCCGAACCCACGAACCGCGAGATCACGACCCAAGCGAAAGTCGGACGCTCAACCGACTAAGCCACCCAGGCGCCCCTCCACAGGATTTTTAAATCTCCCTAATGTACTCACATAATTAAAGAAAAAAATCAACTTAGCGTTTTGGGGAACACACAGCTATCAATGGAACTATTTGTTTTAACTTGAATAATTCTTTTTTTTTCCATTTTAAAACTTCAGCATTAAAAACTTGGATCCTTTTCCCCAAATCACTTGTTCTCTTGGACTTTATTCCTTAGAAATTATAATCACCAAATGCAGTTTCTCTGACTTTGAATTCTCTTTGGCAAGAAGTCAAAGTTTGACTTCGAAGACAAGCAACTCTGAAGAGAACAAAATCTATGCCTTTTGTATTTCTTATTCTAGATTTGGGAAACGTCCTTAAGTCAATACTACGCACTTGACTGTAAATTAAAATGGAAAAAAGAAAATGTGTCAGACTTTTCCTGACCTAAGGCACGCAATACCTTGCCTAGCTAGTTAGCTGAGATGTGCACATCCTATTTCCAAGCTCTTTCAGCAGGGAGATGAAGGCATCCATCCATTCATTCATTCCTTCATATCTGTTCTGTACACTGCGTGATGCTTTCTACTTTATCATAGGTCCCAATTATAGATATAAAAATCAGAAAGAAAAACCTAGATTTATTTTCTAATTTGGGGAAGATGGATAAAATGCTTGCTTTTTCCTAGCTTTCCATTTGTATTTAGTGTTCTACTAGCCTCTTGATTAGGGCACATAATGGTTCCAAGGAAGCCGTAGAAGAAGGAGAGTTCCTGCTGTATAAAAATTTATGAGCTTTCCACTGTGATGTCCCAAGATAAAGCCAAAAATTATGAGGACGCCAAACCAACAAAGAATCTTAAAGACCATCTGGTTCACTCAGCTCTTTCTTTATTGATCTCTGGCATGGTAAGCTGTGAGTTGCCCAAGCTGAAATCAGGAAAAAGCTGCTATGAGGTCTGATGTACGCCACCCGCTAAATTAATAAATATACCCCTCACCGCTTTATGAAAACCCGTTACTCTATGCAAAGAGCCAGATTTACAAAAAAGGTAAATAAGGATTTATTTATAAATTATTCAGAGTGTTCTACATAGAAGCTCCTACAACTCACAGACACATTAGATTTATCCACCACTTTTCAGGAGTAGCTCATAAAGCAAGTTTACCTGTACTGAAAAGTTAGAAAGGGGAAGTCAGAGTGCCTCAAGTACTTTGCACGTGCATCTCATTTAATCCTTCAAATCCCTGTGGGGCTGGGAGAGCCACCACCAGCCTCTTAAAGTTCGAAGAATAGACTCAGGAGGTGAAGTAATTTCGCCACGAGCTCTCACTTAATAATGAGGACCTTCAGTTGCTACAGATTCTGACGTCATACAGCCTTTGGTAGAATTTTAATTCAATGGCATATTCAACATAACTATTACACTGTTATTCTCTGACCTTCATTTCCATGGCTGGCCTGATTTTATCATCTTCATATTTTTAAGTCAATTTCCAAAGTGACCTTACTTTGAAGTATGTAAGATTGACAACTAGATACATTTTTGTTTCCATTTTTAAACCTCTCTCCACCTACTCCCCAAAGAAGTGACAGATCTTTATCAACACTTTCTGCATAAGCTTTCAAGCTCTTTAACAGCAAAAATTAACCCACACTGTAAGTAAACGGATTGCTTCAGAATGACAAATCGATGGGATCATGAAAATAAAGTACATTTCCAGTAGCCTCCACATGAGAAACTGATCAAAATTCTGTGGGCTGCTCAAACTAAAAAATAACAGGGAGGCTGCAAAAGGTACTGGGCTAGCGTTTAAGTATCCTGAATTCTAGTTCTGGCTCTGCCACTTAAAAGTTACAGTAGGGGCACCTAGGTGGCTCAGCCAGCTGAGCTTCCGACTGTGGCTCAGGTCTTGATCTCACATTCGTAAGTTCGAGCCCCACGTCAGGCTCTGTGCGGACAGCTCATAGCCTGGAGCCTGCTTCGGATTCTGTCTCCCTCGCTCTGTGCCCCTCCCCAATTCGCACTCTGCATCTCTCTCTCTCAAAAATAAATAAACATTAAAAAAAAGTTAAAGTAAAAGACCACCTAACTTCTTGGCACCTGTCTCACCTTCAGTGAAAGAAATAATTCCTGTCCTGTTTGGTACACAAGAATATTTGGATGATCAGTAGAGATGTATGGGTTCAGAAATAGGGCCACAGATATTTTATTTTACAGAAATAGGGAGAGATTTTGCAGAAAAGGGAGACCCCCAGAACCAAGACTTGAGATTTTTAGTGCTGAGCCTTTTCTAGTCTACCTGTCGTTGTCTTTTCTGTAACAACAGTTTCTATCCACTGACCTTTGCCCATTACTCAACATTATTTGAGTGCCACCTCAATAAAGCTAACCTAGTTTCCTTCTGGGAACGTGTCATAATCATTCTTAAAGTTCCGCCTCCAAATGCATGCTTCTCAATGTAAAGACTGTAACGTCTTAAAGCTGGAATTACTCCCTCTGGTCAAGTGGACGGGCTCTCTGAATAAGAATCCACTCTCCTACATCACTGGGAGGTATGCCTGGGTCCGGGACTCATAACCACCTCTAAAGCCAATAAAACAAACGTTCTGGGGGGCACATTAAAGAAACTTTCTTTGCAGTGAGTACAGAATCAGACTGCTTTAGAAGTCAAAAAGCTTTGCCCAAGTCAAACGCGTGGCGTTCACAGGATGGAGAAGAGGTGGAGGAACCCTGGCTTCCAGGGTTCTGCCACGAGCTTCCTGCCGACCTTGGCCCCGTCACGAGAGAAACTGCAGGTTTCAGTCCCCCAGGGGGTGAGGACAGCACCCCGAGCGCTCCCCTCCGAGGGATGCTGTGCAACTGGCTGGCGGGAGAGGGGGCAGCGCGCGGGACCACAGAGCGGTCATCCCCCCGCCCCCGCGCGCCGCCAGCGGCGACGCGGCCCGCGAAGGTCACTTACCGGGCCAGGAGCTCCAAGAAGATCACGTTACTGCAGCAGCCTGCGAACACCAGGCCCACCGCGAAAGCCGGGCGCATGGCCGGTGCCGGAGAAGGAGAGCGAGCGAGCCCGCTTATACCGCCAGCCTAAGAAGCCGGGCTGCTGCGTCCGCCGCGGCACAGAACATCCCCACGGACCCACAGCGCGGCTCTCCTCCCGGGGCCGCCACCGACGCTGCCGGCTGAGGAGCTGTAGTTCGCAGTCAACTCCAGCCCCATTCAAACGAGGGGGCGTCCCGGTCCGGGCCAGACTACACATCCCAGGATGCCGCGCGCCCTTACGCCCGGCTGACGTTCCCGCCTCAAAGTTCTTCCGCCAGAGAAGAGGGTGGGATATGATGCCCGTCAAGCCTCGCGCGATAGGAGGCCGCGGGGCTTTCTGGGAAGTGAAGTTCCGATGCTGTCAACGTGGTTTCTTGCGAGACCGCCCAGGGTTCGGGAAGAGACTCGACCAACGCAGTAACAACAAACCCGAAGCTGACGCCACTATAGCTACAGACCTGTGATTGATTGATTGTCAGAGGTGTTGCCATCTGAAACAATTCTCCTGAATTGAGTGAAAGTAGAAACCTCTGTGAACTTGATTGTCTATGGGATAGAATCTTGGCTGAGCCCCTAATCAGCTCCACTATCTCAGGCAACTTCTTTGAGCCTGCGTCTCATCCTAGATAAAGATGGGAACAGTAATGCCTATCTTACCTGGTTGTTGTGAGGTGCCACAATCACAATCACCCGTGGATCTTAAGTGCAGACTATGATTCACTAGAACTGTGATGTGTCCTGAGATTCTGCATTTCTAGCATGTTCTCAGTTCATGCTGATGCTACTGGTCTGTGGACCGCACTTTGAAGAACAGGCGCCCATAAAACAGATGACTCTGGAGACCTCTCTATCTCACCCCTTCCAATGGTTCAGGGACTTCCTGCCAGCCAACCTGTCTTTAGTCTCCTCCTTCCTCATAGCTTATGGCTGTTCTCAAACTTATTTTTGTTTTTCATCTTGCCACCAAATATCTTAAAGAATAATCTAAATTCAGAGTTTCTGCTTTTTACTCTGACCAAAGCCAGATTATTGAAGGTAGTCTCATTCAGACCCCTCAAATGACCTCTTAATTATCAAAACCGCCCACCACAGTCTTCCTTTACTCGATCTTGAAGTGGCTTTTGACAATCTCCATCCTCTTGATATTCTCTTCTCCATCTGCTTATAAGACATGAGTCTCTTTTTTCTACTTCTCTGACTTATGTCTTTTGGTTTTGTTTGCAAGCTCTTCCTCCTCTGCCCCAAGTCTTCCAAAATTCCATTATGTGTCCCTCTTCTAGTTGTGCTAAACACTTTCTACTGGTGATGTCATCTCTAATCTCAACCATCATTGTATGTAACTGTGAGTCTCTGTGTGTATATGTGGACATGTACAGCCCCAATTTCCTGTATGCCTTAAATAAAACTGCTTATTTGACTTCTTCACCAACATATCTTTGTAAGCTCTTCAGCTGAAGCATGTGCATAGTTCATTATCTATGTCCCATAAAGCCCCTTATTTCTATTAGGGACATTATCCACACCTATTCTCTTTGGGCAAAAACCTGAAAATTTTTCAGTCTTCCTCTCCCTCCCACCACACATTTATTTGACCTCTACTTCCTGTCAATTCTACCTCACAAGTATCTCCAGATTCCAGCCTCTGCATCCACTCATCCTCCTGTGAAAGCCTCCAAACACATCTTGGTACCTTCAGCCTCTGCCTTCTTCAACCCATCCTCCATGCCGTCCCCAGACTGTGTTTCAAAACCAAACTCAAACTCTGTGTCACACTGCTATTCCAAGCCGTCTCTTCCAGTTGCCTAGTACTGTGTAATAAACCACCCTGAAATGTAGCGATTCATGATGTACTATAAGAGCTGAAAAATTCTTTCTTACAGTTCTCTATGTTGATTACGTGAAACACATTCTCCATTGGGATTTCTGATGCAGTTGTGGTCAGATGTCAGCTAAAGTTGGAATCACCTGAAAGCTTGACTGTGCTGAGGAACACTGCTTCCCACATGGTGTCTCTTAGGCTGTGCTTCCTCACCATAGTGTGGACTCAGGATAGCCGGGTTTATTATAGGATGACTGGGACCCCCTTGAATCAAGTTTTCCAAGAAATCAAGGCAGAAGCCACAGTGGCCTCAGAAGTCACACAGTGTCACTTATACCAGATTCTCTTGGTTTCATTGGCCAACCCAGATTCACTGCCAGGCCTAACAAAGGCTTCAAGTATGGCGGGGGGGTGGGGAGGGGGTGGGCAGGGGCGGTGGACAGAAGGGCATCTCTGAAGACTAGCTATATAGCACTTGTAGGCTCCTTGTGTAAAACTCACACTTGTAGAAGGTACACAAACATGTCACAATCAAGCCTCAGTTCACCTCTGTGGTTTCATCTCTTGCCATGCTTTCCAGTGCTATCTGGAATCCTGCCACATTAAACACTCTCTATTCTCTACATTTACAGTGACTTTCAAAATTCACATCTCTGCACATGCTGTTCTGTCTGCTCGGAATAGCCTTACCCTTTTCTCTTTGGCCACCTCCTACTCATTCTTTTATGGAGGACACTGGAGCGAGTAGATACTTCTACACTGTGCAGAGGGAAGGTCCCCTTTCAGATACCACTTTTCTTTTTAAAAAAAAATTTTTTAATGTTTATTTTTGAGAGAGAAAGAGACAGAGCATGAACAGGGGAGAGCCAGAGAAAGACGGAGACACAGAATCCAAAGTAGCTCCAGGCTCTGAGCCCAGTGTGGGCCTCGAACCCACGAACCATGAGATCATAAGCTGAGCTGACGCTTAACCGACTGAGCCACCCAGGTGCCCACAAAACACCACTTTTCTGTGTGTAGCTTTTTCCATTCTTGGCTCCCTCCTCTATCTGCTGCACTCCATCCATACCTAAACTAATCCATGAATCACATTGTATTATAGTTGTCATTTTCATATCTGTCTCCTCTGTAGAACATGCCCTTTGTGGACAGAGACAGGAATAACTAATTTATTTCTAGAGCCTTAGCACTATATACAGTGATTGGCATATAATATGTTCATAAATTTTCGTTGAATGAGTGAGCCTGACTTTATTATTTGAGTCAAATAATTTATACCTCATAAATTCAATAAATATGTATGTGTTTATTACATATTTTTATTAAATAGATAATACTTTTCAGCATGACTAATTTTCAAACATCAAAAATGCACTGCTCAATTAATTTGCATCAACAATGATATGGATAACTGATACCTTGGCCAAGAAATTGAACATTACCCACATCCCAGAAGCTCCTTGTTCCCCTCCAGGAATAACCACTTTTCTTGCTCTCTAGCACCAGAATTCGTTTTACCTGTGTTTAAACTTCACAGAAACGGAATCACATACATGTTTTCTTTTGTTTCTGCTTCTTTCACTCAACATTATATTTCTATTTGTTTGTGTTGTCGCATGTTTTTGTAGTTTTTTTATTCTCATTGCTCCATAGCATTCCTTTCCATGAATATGCCACAAATTAGTTATCTCTTCTCCTTACTGGACATTTGGGCTATCATGTATAGTGCTACCATAGAATTTCTCATGCATAGCTTATGATGAACTATTAAGCACACATTTCTGTTTGATAGGAGTATATTAATCAAGGTCTAGTCAAGAGACAGGAATCATCACACAGTAATGAACAGGGAAAGTTTAATGTAAAGAATTAATAACCAGTAACAGAATTCGTACTATAAGGAATTAAGAAACTCCTAAGATTATACAAATAGCAGCTATTACCTAGAACTGAGGCAGATAACCCAAGGAAGGAACAATTTGGAAGAGGGCTTTATGAGAGCCAAATTGAGATTCAGGCCTTATTGAAGAGGGTGTGGTTATGGCCAGAGGGGATAACCACACCCTCTTCAATATGCTCATTACACCCCACCCTCTGGGGTCCAGTTGGATCGCGGGCCAGCTCCTCAGGAAGCAGCCGTTGGGGGCATTGTCCTTTCTAGGAAGCTGGCTGGGGATCTGGCAGAACTCTCTAGTAACCGCCACCTGTAAGGGAACTGCGTAATTGACTGAGATGAGCGCCACAGGACGTCCCCACTGCTGCAGGAACAGGAAGAGAGAGGAAAATGCCAGAACCAGGAAGACAAACCGCCTCCTCCCTCACCGCTCCTGCAGCTCCCCTGTGACAAAGGTCCACATAGGGCCACCTGGCAGAGGACAAATGTCCCCAGGATCCAACTCCAGCACCACGTGCAAAGCGATGAAGAGAGAACTTGGAGCTGAGAGGCTGTAAGTGACCAGCCGGGACACCCCAGGGCTTTTTTAGGGGCCATTTCAATGTCAATGTTTTAATCGTTTCCTCGCAAAACCAAAGCTGTACAGTATCAGCAAGGCTTCATCTCCCAGACTTTTTCTTCTTTTTCCCCTGAGTTCAAAACTCCAGCATCCTAGAATGAACAGAGTTTCTCAGACAGCAGCTGGGCTCAACGTGTTAAACCTTCACACAACCCTCTTCCCTCGTGAAGAAGGACCTGTCGCTTTGGGAACGTTCGTCATCTCTGCCCCCTTGTCTGTCAGCAGGAAACGCTGTCAAGGTTGTTTTAAAAACCATTTTTTCCTTCTGGTTCCAGCCACTCAGACATATTTTGAATCATTTATACAATCCACTTAACCAAGTTGTTGACAAAAAAATTAAGTAAGATGACTCCCGTGGGGATACTGCTTGACAAGGGTCCTCAAGTTGATAATCCTACGAAGATTTGTCACTTGATTTTTTGAAACCCGCTTTCCATATGTATCACACGAGGATGATTTCCTCCTCTCTATATCGCATAAATCTTCAGATGCTTGGAGCTGTGTCCTGGAAAGACACACTATAAATATACTTAAGGTGTTACTTATAAAGTCAAAATATTTCTGTTGCCTGTTTCAGAGGCCCGATTCAAGCAATGCCCCAGTGTGTTGATAAACGTGTGCAGTCTAGCATCTTCAAGGACACTATTCAAGGACAGAGTTCTTTTTCAGAGCACCACATTTAGACACATGGAGTTTTGGAGTTTGGGCCAGGAAAGCAGCCTTCCTGACCAGAATGGTAGCGGCAAAGGTCGAGGACTGTTTTATTAGATAGTATCTTCTACATCCAGATATGTTCGGCTCATTGCAGATGTT